TATATATATATATATATATATATATATATCACAACCTAATTTACCTATTCAAACAGTTATTAAACTAAAACTATATGAATTAGCACAAAATTAAACACAAAAAATAATTATCGTAATATATTGAAGAGTAACTGTTCAGATGTCATAGAAAACAAAAAAAAATAAAAACAGTCTTAATCATCTTCCATGTTATCGTCTTTTCTCCTCCTCAACTTTCTCCTATGCTGGTTGTTTCTCTCTCAAGTGTGCCCGATGTCTTGTCTTAATGCATCTAATTCCATTTTTATTTTTATCTCTAATCGAGACTTTACCTCAACAACCTTAGCAGCGAAATCAGGTCTCTATATCGCTGGATGCGACAACCTAAGCAAAAGGAGCAATGAACGACGTACCGGCAAAACCAATCCATGAACCCTTCTTTCTTTTATCTTGCCCCAGGAATTTTGCTGTTTTGGTTACCAAGGTGCATGGATTATGTAGGGTCACATTAATTCTGAAAATTATCAAGTTAAAAAGGGTTTAAATCTCATCAAGTCAACCTTGTGTTTTACGATAAGACAAGGTCAACCTGCCTTCAAATTCAACGAATAAATCAAACTTTAGTGTTGAAATTCAAAATCTTTATTAAAGCAATAATAAAGTAATAAGCGAGAAAAAATATTGATTATTTGTGTTGTGAGATATGTACTTCCTGGCATAAAAATGAGACGAAAAAGAACACAAGCAAACACAGATCGTTTACGTGGTTCGATCCAACTGGATCTATGTCCACGGGAGGGAATCAATCAAATATTTCACTAAGGCAAAAGAAATGGAGAATACATAGCTTATACATAGAGATGAGCCCTCATCTTCCTTCTATGGCCTCCCTCTCAAGCGACACCTTGATACAAGGCCTCAAGATGGTCTCCTCCTCTCTAACTCTATAGTTATTCTCTCATCTTTTGTGGTAGCTTAAGATCTCTTCTCCCTTTCCTCTCCTAAGCCTCACACCCTTAAGATTTCTTCCCTTGCTCTCCTAAGCCTCACACCCTCTCTATTTATAGAGCAAGAGAGTGGTAGGTGGGAGGTAGGTGAGCGGTAGGTGAGTGGTAGGTGAGATGTGGTA